TCTCTCTCTCTCTCTCTCTCTCACACACACACACACACAAGCGCACACACACACACCCGCGCACATACCCAGAGCACACGTGACATCTCCTAACAAGAACAGGCACGGCGGCCGCTGTGGCACAGAACACAGAAAATGCCTACAAGGCACTGAGGATTTTTCTGTCCCTAGAGATGGAAAATGAGCCGAGTCAGACCTGCCCGCTTGCTGAGGGATTTCTCCCAGGTGGATTTCAAGTGACGGGCTCTGGATTCCAAACTGTCGCATCTCTGTGAGGGCAGAACCGCGAAAACTCCGTTTGCCACCTTCACTTAGAATGACGCCAAGGCCCTCCGGTGACCCTGGGCAGCAGGAAGGATGGGCTCCGGAGAGCGGAGCTCTGGAGTGACTGCTCCGGGGCCTGGGGATGATTCATTTCCTAGATGTCGTGGGCCGATTCAGGGATAAGCCTGGAGGCCTCCTGAATTTGGCTGTCCAAAATACGGCGTTTAATGGGCAGGACTTTTAGGCCTGAAGGAGCTGCGACGGTGTCAGTGAGACCCCGGCACCTGTCCAGCTGAGATGGAGCCGCGGCAGCAAGTGAAGGACAAATTGTGAGCTTTCATATATTTGAAATTTAACAGGAGTAAGAAATTTTGGCTCCAGACTTGAATTCCTTTGACTGTCATCATCCTTGGACCTGAACTTGCAGTGGTTACCCTTTAAGACTGAATTTCTCCCCAGAGACTGGATAACAGAAGCAGATTTATGTTAACATTCAGGGCATACTGTGTGTTGCAAGTTTGCGTCATGTCGTGGAGGAATCCCGACGAGCCCGGCCGAACAATACAGCCGCACAGAACTAAGGGTGAGAAGTAAACCAGAGTGTGTGGCCGCCTCCAGTACAGAGAGGCCTTAGGATTACTTAATTAATGTCCTATTCGACAAATTCCGGAGCCGTGGGGAGCACATTCTAACCACCCCACTGGTCTGTCCTGAGGGACTGTGATCTCTCCCACTCCAAGGGAGGCCACGCCCCCGGCTGTCCAGGGCCCTGATGGTTATGTGAATAACAGACAGACCTGGAGTCAGTCAGCGTCCAGGCGGAGGGAGCACAGCTGCTGTCTCTCCTGTACTGGCTCTATTCCCAGAAATGCTCGCTCCACGGAGGCTAAAACGGGGAGAGGCGAAGGTGGGTTCAGTCCCTCGCACTTCTCAGAGGTTCCACAGCAGGCAGGCAGGGCCCGGCCCGCAGCACCGGCTCAGATAGGGTGGGCAAGCCTGATAGGTCCTGGGGTCAGTCAGCCAACTCAGTGGCTCTCCCACTAAGACAGGATCTCAGGCTCTCGTTGAGCAGAAATAAATGTTATTCTTTGGCCTCCATCTGCCACAACTTTGTTTCATTTCTCAATTTGTTCAAAACCCAGGTAGGGAAGACGGGTTCTCAGAAATCCAAACAATAAAAAAGAATGGCACTGAGAGCCCATAAAGGTCAGGTCTGCATTTTGAAAGAGAAAAGGTTTGCATTTTGGAAGACCTGCAAAGACTGACAGCTATGGCCTTGGCATTCTGGCTTCAGACTAGGAGCAGAGAAGACCAGCCTTCAGAAGACTGCAGCACGGACGCCCGGCTCCACCTCCGGAGGGCAAGACACACCAAGGCATGGGGGGGCGGGGGGGGGGTGGTCTGGGCCCTCCTGGCTCCGGAGGTGAACCCAGGCTACAGAAGGCCCCGCTCAGTGGCCAGGAAGCCTCCAAGGGCACTCTAAGGAGGCAGACACCATGGCCAAGGAACCCAGAGCCAGGCGGCTGAGGAAAGGAATGACTAAGACCACCCCATGGCCCTCGCAGCAGCCTGTCCCGGGGAGGCACTGACTGCCCGGGCCCTCCCAGCAGCCTGCTGCCCGCAGGCTCCACCAAGGCCCCTGGGCAGATCACGGGCTCTGTCTGCTTAAGGCCCAGAAACCAGATTTGCCCTCAGGATACCCCAGCCCAGCACCCCGCCCCCCACACCTGGCCCCCAGATCACCTGTGCTAGTGAACATGTACCTGGGCAGCAAAACAGGATCTTGTAAGCAAAAATACTCTACGCTTATAAAAATATCATTAGTAATAATATTAACATTATTCCCTTCATAAAAAGTAAACATGCATATCCTTTCCAATTGAGACCATGTGTCTTTGAAAAGGGATATAATTTACAAAACGTATGGGTCAGAGGGAAGAAAGGAAGGGCTGAAGACAATGGCCTTTTGCGAAATGTTTCACAGAAGGTAAAGTCTGTGAATATAAATTTTTTAAAATACTCTCAGCTTGCCTTACACCTGTTGCCATTACAACATCACACTCCTCCCAATAACAAATAACACTTTCTGCGCTTTTCGGAAGAAAAGTAGAATAAAATTTTCTCAGGGAGCATTTTAGAGAAGAGTTGAAATATAAATTCCTATCAGCTCAGCTGGAAGTACCAGGAGGCAAACCTGCCAGCTCACGGAGAAATTAGACTCCTCCTGCCTCTCTGACAAAGGGCTCTTCCACCTGGACCAGGATCCA